AAGTTCCAGCCTGGATATTCTCTTGGGCCCCAGGCTAGGGACTAGACAGCAGGTGGGTAGGGCTTTTCTAAAAGGAATCTGAGGGTGAGAGGGGAATAAACCAGCTCACACGCATGTTTCTCTCATGGCTCTTTATTCTTCAAAAATGGAGGCTTCCATGGGGCTGGAGAGATGGCTCAGGGGTTAAGAGCACTGACTGCTCTTCCAGAGGTTCTGAGTTCAATTCCCAGCAACCACATGGTGGTTCACAACCATCTGTAATGTGATCTGGTGCCCTCTTCTGGCATGCACTGTATACATAATAAATAAATAAATAAATAAATCTTTAAAAAATAAATAAATAAAATGGAGGCTTCCCAATAAAGTTCTCTCTCAAAAGCTCCCTTTAAGATTTCTCTCTAAAAGCTCTCTCAGAAGTTCTTTCTCTAAATGCGCTCTTAAAGTTCTCTTTAAAAGTTCTCCTTAAGGGCTGGAGAGATGGCTCAGAGGTTAAGAGCACTGGCTGCTCTTCCAGAGGTCCTGAGTTCAATTCCCAGCAACCACATGGTGGCTCACAACCATCCATTATGAGATCTGGTGCCCTCTTCTGGTGTGCAGATATACATGGAAGCAGAATGTTGTATGCATAATAAATAAATAAAATCTAAAAAAAAAAAAAAGTTCTTAAAAATTCTCTAAAGTCCTTTCTAAAAAGTCTCCAAAAGTTCCTTCTGAAAGTTCTTTTGAGGTCTTCTTTTCCTATCCCACAAGGCTTCTAGTTTTTATACCCACACGCACATTTAACACCTCTCTAAAAGTAGGGCATGGTATCTCTCAGAGCCAGGAAGGCAGGTGGGTAGGATCTTGAACAAAGCAGGTGTCTCACGTCTCTCCCCTGGATGTGACATCCTGGCAAACTTAAGTCTCAGGGGGCATGTGACTTGCAACTGATTGAAGGAGGCTTCTCAGTGTTATATCAAAGGGAAAAACTAAGGCTATGTAGTGTGCGATCCAGAGGCTGCAGCTCTTACCACTGACACATGGGTGAGAAGGAATTCCTTTCTCTGGGGCTTATTTGAGAATACAAAGCACTCAGTATATATTCTATATGCAGCCAGTATAGATTCATGGTAACAAATATTCTAGAGTTGATACCTAGAATATTAATTGCTAGTTCTGTAATAAATGATAAAGGACTGCAGCGTGGCAGGAATGCTGTTGAGTCGGCCCTGGGCAAGATGAGCACATTACTCTCCGTGCACACAAGCTTCAGACCAATGAACACATTCAGTGTCAGAGGTGTTAGGAGAGTATCTTAGGGGGCATGCTGGGGAAGCCAGGTGCAGGCAGATGAGGGGATGCGGGCCTTGCCCAGAAAGGTTGGCATGGACGCTGTGTGCATTCATTCACAGGACAGCATGCAGATATTTTGTCTGTCTGTAGCTACATATAAAATGATGCATGTGCCAAAAGCATTGGCTATAAAATAAATGCGCTCATCCAAGGATGTGTTTTTATTTGTCGAGTTTTTCTCTTGTCTGGCAGCACTTTGACACCGACACCCAGGACCTCACAGGGATCGAGTGGGCCCCGAATGGCTGTGTGCTGGCAGCGTGGGACAGCTGCTTGGAGGTATAGCAGATGGCCTGCCAGCAGCACACCCTTTCTCGAGAGCATTCACCTGCGGGTACCTGTGTGTGCTTTTAGTGCAGCGAGCCGCTGGGCACTGAAGCACTGCGCTCAGTGCCTGTGACATGTCTCAATGTCTCCTCTGCAGTACAAGGTCCTGCTGTACTCCTTGGACGGCCGCCTGCTCTCAGCATACTGCGCCTATGAGTGGTCCCTGGGCATCAAGTCTGTGGCTTGGAGTCCTAGCAGTCAGTTCCTGGCCATTGGGAGCTACGACGGAAAGGTGGGAAATGGCCCAGGGCACAGGCCAACACCTGAGTTGCAGGACACTGGCAGCTCCATGAGCTGCCTGCATGCCATTCTCACGGTTCCTTCCCCAGGTGCGCCTCCTTAATCACGTGACCTGGAAGATGATCACCGAGTTTGGGCACCCTGCAGCCATTAATAATCCCAAGGCAGTAAGTCTTTCATATATCTTCACTTGAGCATGGTGGTTTCTCCAGTGCTATGAGCTGCTCTTGGCCTTCCTCAGTTGCTGTGATGTTGTCTTCCCTGCCCAGCACCCTAACATACTCCTTTGTCAAGGGCATGCCTAGTCCAGGTTCCTCTGGACCAGATGCTGTGTTCATTCTTGTTCCATCCTCTGCAGGTCCCTGGTGTTTGCAAAGGGGACTGGGAAATCTTGAGCATCTGCCATCCTACCAGGCACTGTGCTCTGGACTTCAGCAGACAAGCAGGGCAGGGCCAGTAGAGTTGTCCTGTGCAGACCTTGGGTAGGGGCAGCCCAGGTCCAGGAACCAGGAAGTACAAAGATACTACAGTTGAAGGCATATTCTGTAGCTCTGTAGTGTTGAGTCTACTATCTTCTGTCCATGGTCTGCAGCAAGGACAGACTTCTGCTTCCCTATAGAGGTCACCCATCCACTGAGGTGGTAGACTTGCGGAGGACAAGGAGGGGCCAGGACTACAGGCCAGAACCCTGAAGGAGGAAGAGCTGGGTAGAGGCGAGGCTTTGGCTTAGTCAGAGTGCTCTTCTAGTAGCAGTGGCTGAACTTGGTCGGAGCTCAGGGGAGGCATAGCAGAATGCAGGCTGGCCATGGAGGCTGCCAAGGTTTGCCTGTGGTTCATGCATCTAATTCTCTTTGTGTGTGGGGTGGTTTCTCTACCTGGGACTGTGCTGTGTGGTTCAGCTTTATGTCACTGGGACAGACAACCCCGGATAGGATCAATTTAAAGGAGGAGGGGGCTTATTTGGCTCCTAATTTCCAGGGCTTCAGTCCATAGTCCCTTTGTTGCTTTGGGCTTGTGTCAAGGCAACACATTGTGGTAAGGAACAAATGGCAGAGCAAAGCTAATCTTACAGTGGCCAGGAAGCAGAGAGGAAGGGCAGGTGAGGTCCCAATAGGGGCTTCAAAGACACCTCCATTGACCTGCCTTCCCCCCACAAACTGTTTAAAGTTACCGCCACCCCCAGCAGTGCCACAGGCTGGAAGCCAAGCTCCAACTCATGGCCTTTAAGATCCACACTAGCAGCAAGACTGTCAGGCCTGGTTGTTTGCTGCTCCCACAGCCTGGTCTGGCACCCACAGGCCGCTTGTGCATTGCTGTGACATTGTGCACCATACGGGGCTGATGTGGCAGCTGAGCTGGCCTTCACTGCAAGGGCTCAGACTGGTGCTGCTGCTTCCCAGTAGCCATGGCATCTGGCACTTAGGTTGGGCCACTTTCCCTTGAGCCCTTGGTTCTTGTCAAACTGGTTAGTGGCCACATATTTTTCAGGTTGTGTATAAGGAAGCTGAGAAGATCCCAGAGCTGGGGCTGGGCCACCTGTCCTTCCCACCACCCCGAGCAATGGCTGGTGCCCTCTCTACCTCAGAGAGCAAATGTAAGCAGCAGAGGGCTGTGTCTTCCATGGGAGAAAGCTTGTTCTTTCTTAGATGAGAATCCTGTCCCCATGAATCTCAGGTGCTGTTAGTTAGGGTGGGGGCGTTGAGATGGGGGTCACCTTTCCCACACTGCCCTTTAGTCCCTGTGCCCTCACACCATCTGTCACAGTAGCTTGAGATAACAGCCCTGGCCCTGTAAGGCATCTTTAGACACAGTTCTCTGAATGGACCCTGGAGGCATTTGGGAGGGGGGAGAACAGGAGCAGACATATACTTGGAGGCTCAGCATTTGGGAGGGGGGAGAACAGGAGCAGACATATACTTGGAGGCTCAGCATTTGGGAGGGGGGAGAACAGGAGCAGACATATACTTGGTGGCTCAGTCTTCTCTGGACTAGGGCTCTGAGCTTCCACTCCCTGCCCTGCAGGGGAATGGGCAGGGACTTGAGACTGAAGTTGGAGGGGGACAGACAGGGCAGGTTTGGAGGGCTGAGGGTAGCCAGGCTTGAGAGGTGCTGCTCACACTGGCTGGTGTTTATCTAACCTCTTCTGCCGGTTGATAATCTCTCTTCACCTCCCAGCTGGAAAAGGGTGGCCAGCCGTCTGCATAGGTGCTGGAAATGGGTAGGTAGACAGACCTGCCAGATGTGCAGGTAGACAGACCTGCCAGATGTGCAGCTAGCTGGGGCTAGCTCAGAAAGCAGACCTAAGCATGTACCCTTCCACTGGGGCTCTAGACTGCATGGTTGTGGCCCCACTTGGGGCCCTCTAGGCAGCAGAACCATTGTCCCCTAGGGAACTTATGGACAAGCCTCTTACCACAGCTGTTGGGATTTTTAAGCCTCCACCCAGCAAATCTGCTCCACACTTCCTGGCATGTTTTCCTTCCCTGTCTGCTTGCCCCCTCCCCCACTTGAACAGAGCCCTCAGCATGTCCTCCCTGTTGGTGTTCCAGATGAGATCGCCTCTGGGCCAGTTTCCTTGCAGACTCTGAAGCCGGTAGCTGACAGAGCGAACCCTAAGATGGGTGTGGGGATGCTGGCTTTCAGTTCTGACAGCTACTTCCTGGCAACAAGAAACGGTCAGTGTCATACTCACAGGGCAGGTCAGCTGCTCACTGCACCCTTTGATGCCAAGAGTAGAAATGGAGAAACGAAGTTCAGGAGGGTAGTTGTCCCTGGTTCTCTGCTAAGAGGGCATTCTTCATAGCAGCTCATTCTTGCTAGTCAGCCCACGTCCTGGCTGACCACCTACTGCCTCCTGCAGGCCCTCTCACTGTGCAAGAACATCAGTTAGTCTCTGTGGGTCTGGTTTTGTTTGCATGTTTCTACATTTGCAAATGTAAAAACCACAGGAAGAGGGGCCTGTGGCCTTTGGAGGCCTTTCCTTTGTTCTGGGTGTTAGTCCCCGAGAAAGAAACCAGTTCACCCTTTGAGTCAGGGTTTGCTCAAAGAGGGCCAGCACTAACATGGTGTCCCATCTGTTTCCTTGCAGACAATGTCCCTAATGCTGTGTGGATCTGGGACATTCAGAAGCTGAAGCTGTTTGTGGTCCTAGAGCACATGTCTCCAGTGCGCACATTTCAGTGGGACCCACAGCAGCCACGGCTGGCCATCTGTACAGGGGGGAGCAAGGTGTACCTGTGGTCCCCAGCAGGCTGTGTGTCGGTGCAGGTACCTGGTGAAGGTGAGCAGATTCTTGAAAACAGCAGTGACATCATCCCCTTCAGCAACCTTGTAGGACCTTGCCTAGTATGTATACTGAGAGGGACCTGCCACCCTACAGTGTGCACACTGAGAGGGACCTGCCGCCTTACAGTGTGCACACTGAGAGGGACCTGCCGCCTTACAGTGTGCACACTGAGAGGGACCTGCCACCCTACAGTGTGCACACTGAGAGGGACCTGCCGCCTTACAGTGTGCACACTGAGAGGGACCTGCCGCCCTACAGTGTGCACACTGAAGAGGGACCTGTTGCCCTAAGCTCTACAGGCTTTGGCTTCAGCCTCGGGCTCACCAGGTTCCTCACTCATCCCAGGTTGCCCTCCCTGGTCCTGGTTTCCGCTCTCACCCTCTAACCACCTGTCTGTCTCTCTAGGTGACTTTCCAGTGCTTGGACTGTGCTGGCATTTAAGTGGGGATTCCTTGGCCCTCCTTAGCAAGGATCACTTCTGTCTCTGCTTCCTGGAGACCAAGGAGGAAGTTGGCACAGCCTGTGGACAACGGGACGGCCATGCCTAGGACCTGAGTGGAATCAGAGGCAGCGGATTCTGCTGGTCCCAACACAAGCAACATCTGCACAGGCTCTCCAGATGGGATACTTGGTGCTCAGTTTTCTGTAGTGAGGTGTTTCTGTAAATATGTATAAAGTTGTAATATAAAAGAGGTATTTGCTAATCCACGGAACACTGGTGATTGTTTTCCTCAAGGCCTGTCTGGCCTCTCCAGCCCCTCTGCAGCAGGATGTACTCAAAAGTGCTGTGAGGCCCCAGCACTATGCCTGTCCCCATGTGGGATGCGAGGTCTCTGGCCTGACAAGGCAGTTAGCAGGGTCCTGGTTTCTGCCTGGTAGAATCAAAGTGCTTCAACATACTTCCATGATCTCTAGCAAATGCCTTGAAAGCATCCAGACCACAGTGTTGGGACTTGCAAACCAGGATTCTAACCGGACTGTGTACTTGCCCATCTGAATTTTTGTCAAGAGGACTCCTATGGAGGGTCCCCAGCCCGCCAGCACACTCAGTCCCTCAGGCCTCAAGACAGTCTTTGGTTGGCACACCTGTTTTTGTGATAGTAACTTCAAAACGGAGCAACTTCATTTGGTTTTCAACGTCTTTACTGTAAGACCAAAAGCATGGGGTAAAGACCAGGTGCATCCAAGGTCACCTTTCCGCTGGACCAGGCCCTGACACTATAGTCACATCCATGCTGGTTAACTTAAAGCTGCGGTAGAGGTATCAAGTGACAGGCCAGTTGTACTGACAAATGCTGGAGCCACAGGGGCAAGCTATGTGTGGTTGGTATGTTGAAGCTCAGCAAAGCTCAGTGGGGCTGAAGGCGCCTGGGGTGTGTGTGTGTGAGGCTACAGGCTGGTCTGTTTATTAATAAACATGCACTTCTTAAACTACTCAGTCCCTTTTAAACAGAGACAGGATGATGTAAACCCACTACCACAACTTCCAGAAGGGGCTGGATTATGTCATGAAACTGACCTTTTCTGGGCTTGGGAAAATTGCTGAATACAACCTGGATGAATTTTATAAAGTGTGACTTTAGGCCAAACATATTCACAGAAGGGCAGTTTCACTAGAAGCTGCCAGGCAGGCAATCTTTCTTGGTAACTAGTCTGCTAGCTGCTATTGTACTTAGCTTTTTAAAAATGGGCTGAATTTCAAAATACAAAACTTGCTGGGGTGTTAATGCATGTGCAGGCTCCAGAATTGTTGTGCTCCGCCCTGTATTCAATAGTCCACACAGCAGAAGTGGCCAGGTACACTGTGCTCAGCATGCTGGAGGAACAGGGCAGGAAGAACAAGCCCAGTAGGGACAGTGGAAAAACTTTTATGTGAGTTACAGAAGAACACAGTGGCACGAGGACAGTTAATATTTCTGCCTTCTTGTTGCCAAGGTGCCCAATATCCAACTAAATATATATATATATATATATATATATAATTCACTTGACTGTTCTACTCAGACACCTAAAGGGACAACGCCCGTGTTCTCTCCAGCCACAGTGGGTAGCATGGGGTTGCACACCGAGTCCCTACCACCTTGGTTTTCTTGAGGAAACAGCTGTCTAGAAGCCTATCTTGCCCCTGGTCATGGAGTAACCCAGCTTGGCTTCATTGTTAATGAAGGACATCAGCCCCACGTAGGTCTCGATGAGGAGTGGGCGCTCCAGCACCAGCACGCTGTTCGCCTGTCCTGGCAGTGGGCTTTCCTTCTGGGCTTTCTTGACAGCTTGGATCAGGAGAGTCTGGAAGCTTTCCAACTTTAAAAGAGAGAATACACATGGAGGCTCAGCCTCGAGGTAGACCACAGTACTCCACTACACTGGGAGAGGAGGATTCTGAGACGTTCCAACAACATGGCAAGTGCTAAGAGCTGTGTCATCACGCAACTCGTCCTGTGTGGACATCACAACAGGACTTGCGCTAAGTCCAGTCAACTCTAGATAGTAACAACCACTCTGTCACTAAGATGCACTAAGATGCAATCAAGAGACAGACCTCTCACACAGATGCATGTGTTCTCAAGTGACACAGTGTGTTCCCTAATGGCACAGTCACCACACACTATTCACACTGGTGCGCTGTGTGCTCACTGACCAGTAACATCACAGATGAAGGAATCTATGAGGACTGTGATGTCACCGAGTGACAGGACTCTCTCAGCCTGTTTGGAATGCGTGTAAGCAATGCTCTATGTGCTGCATGTCTGCCCTTTTGAAGAACCTCAGGGCTCCCTCAGCACTTCCCAAGTATCCAAATGCACCACCAGCAGCACCTGCAGAGCCCTCACCAGGACCATGGGGTTTCCCCACGCTAACTCACCCAATCCAGACTGAGCATCCTGCAGTGGGATAGTCGGGGGTCTCCCTCAGTTCCGAGGCCCCAGTATCTAGTTTCCCCGTTATCAGAAGCTGCATGTCCAAGTGCTCACACTAGACCGTATAGCCTAGGATACACCCACCCATCACGGTTGGGTCCAAGGGCCTTGGATGTGCTTACTTGGCACAGAGATGCTGTCTTCTCATCCATGCCAGCCATCGGGTGTTCAATGAAGGTGGCATAGGGCATGTTTGTGGACCAGGGGTTCCATCTGTTGATGAAAGAAGGGCGGCTCTGCTTGTCCCACTGAATGCGAACCCCAAAGCCTTCTCGCCTGATGGAAGAAGGGAAAGAAAGCCTTGCTTATCACAGGTGTACAACACTGCAGCCAGCATCAGGGGTAGCAAGGAGAGCTGTGGTTTGGCGTAACAGTAGTCTCCACAAGCCGCTTCCAGTACTTTCCAAGTGTAAGAAGTTAATGCTCTGCGGCTGGAGAGATGTTTCAGAGCACTGGCTGCTTTTCCAGAGGATCTGTGTTCAATTCCCAGCAATCACATACATGGTGGCTCACAACCATCTGTAATGAGATCCAGCTCCCTCTTCTGGCCTGCAGGTGTACATGCAGGCAGAACAATACACAAAATAAATCATCTTAAAAAAAAGAAGTTAGTGCCTTGGTTGACACCTCGTCTTTACTGCCTATGAAACAGGCACACAGTTCAATCTGGCCAAATCATGGATGGGTTTTTTCTTAATGTGTTACTGAATGACATTTAAGCTTGTAGCCATTAGCTTCCTGGATTCCCTATTCAAATTTCCACAGACTGTGGGCTGGGGTGTGGGCCTCTCAAGCTTCAGAATCATTCTTTCACAGCAAGCTGACCAGCTCTTGAAAACTGGCTGTCGGGTGTTTTCAATACATCCGGCTTTTAGTACGTTCAATCTACTTTTAAACAACAACCAGAGAAGACTGAATACATACCGTATGCTCCCATCCTGCTGGGGGTTAAAATGCCCGATCTGAGGAGTGCTAAGTATGCAACACAGTTTTAACTGCGGGGACTCCACACATCCTAACAGGTAAGTGGGTTTCAGTGCTGGCAGAGCAGCCCACCCTGAAGTCATCAGCTTCTGTTTTAGGGGCCTTTCCGCTGGTCCTCCAAGATGAGGCCTGTAGCCCACAAAAGAGTGGGGCAAAACCACTCCTAGGGGGTCCGCAGGGGACCCTGACGCGCAGTGCGCTGGCGGGTGCACCTACTTGTTGAGCGACTTGGGAGGAAACTGGAATTCTCCACAGGAGATGGTGTCCACCGCGCTGAGCGCCACCCTCACCACCTGCTGGCACTGGAGGCTGATGAAGTCGTATTTGCAGATGAGCAGCGACTGGTCGGTGATG